TCATCATCATCATCATCATCATCATCATCATCATCATCATCATCATCATCATTACTATTAATATTATTATTTAAAATATGTATAATTAATAATAATATCTACTTAATTAACTAAGATTTTTATGTTATAAAATTAATATATTAAAATAAATTTATAGTAAAAAGATTATTATAATTAAATAAAATAATATAAAAAATAAAAAATAAAAATAATTAAATTTATTATATTAAATATTATTATATAATAAATAATATATTAAAATATAATTTATATTTTTAACTAAATTATATATATAATATTTATTTAAATTTATATAATTTTATAAATCAAATATATTAATATATATTTATAAAATAGATTTATAAAATAGTTAAATTTTAATTATATTATAAAAATTAAATTTTTATATTATTTATATATATATATATATATATATATATTTTATATTTTATATTAAATATTTTTAAAATTTAATTTATTAAAGTATAATTCTTTAAACTTTTTTAATATAAAATTAAATAATAATTTTTAATACTATTTTTTAAAATTTAATATTATTTATTATTATAATATTTTTATAATCTGATACATAAAATAAATAAAAACTTTAATTGAATTAAATAATTGATAATAAAATTAAAATTTATATTTTTATTATAATTTTATTTTAAATTTTTAATTTTTTATTAAATATTAATTATAAAAATTATATATATAAAAAATTTTAGTATTTAATAATTTATTTATATTAATTAATTTTTTTAACTTTTATTAATTTTTTTAAACATAAACTTTAATTTTAAACTTTGAATTTAATTATTAAACTTTTAATCATATTATTAAATTTTTGAATTAAATAACTTTATCTTAAAAATAATAGTATTATTTTTATTTTCTAAACTAAAAATAAATTAATTTAATTTTATTTATATTAAATTAAATTAAAATTTTTTATTTTTTTTAAAAAAAATTTATATAATTATTTTTAAATTTTTATAGTTCTTTTAAGTAGATATAAAATCAATAATAAAATTTATATTATTAATATATTTAAAATTTTTACTCTATATATAATAAATAAAATAAGTAAAATTAAAAATTATTAAAAAATTTTTAATTTAATATTAATTTTTTTCTATTTTAATATATTAAATAAAAGTTATATATTTTTTTTATAGAATAAATAATTTACTTTATTATAAATTTTAATAACTTTATATATTATAAAATTAAATTATTTAATATTTTTAAACATAATTAAAAATATTATTTTAAATTAATAAATATAGTTATAAAAATAAAATATTAATTTTAATATTTAAATATTATAAAATATTAATATAATTATAGTAAAATTAAAATTTATTTTTTAAAATTATTTTATTATTATTAATTTAAAAATCTAATATTTAAAATATTTAAATATTTTTAAATAGTTAAATAATATTACAAAATTTTTAAAAATATAAAATTTAAAATAATTAAATAAATTCTAAGTTGATTTAAAAGATAATAAATAACTAAGTTAAAAAATAAAAATAGATTTAATAATAAAACTTAATACTAAAAGTTAAAAAGTATTTTAAAATATTATCTTTTAATTTTATATTAAAAGAAAGATTAAAAAATTACAGTTTAATAATTAAATAAAAATTTTAAAAATAATCAATATATAAAATATAAAATAAAATTAAAATAAAAGTTTTTATTAATAGAGTATAAAAAAAAATTTCTATAATATGATTAAAATTTAAATATAATTATTTTAAATCTTGTATAAAAAAATTATAAAATATTCATATTATTATATTATTATATGAAATAATAATTTTATTTTTTATATAATGATAAAATAATTATCTCTTTAAAAAATATTATTACTTTATTAATTATATAGTAATATTTTAATATATTTAAAAAAGAAGAAAAAATTAATAAAGATTTTATATAAATAATTATTTAACTTATTATTTAAAAAATAAATAATTTAATTTTAATATATTAAAATTATTAAAATTATATATAAATTTTTACTTAATTATTTATATTTTTAATTACTTAAATATTTTATTAGTTTTTAGATTATAAGCTTATTTTTTTAATTAAATTTAATTATTTAACTTTTTATTAATCAATCTATATAATAATTAACACTATTGATTTTATATTTTAATATCTTATAATTTAAATTATTTAGTTTAATAATAAAAAATTAATTAAGTTTAGATAATATAAATTATCATAAAAATATTTTTAAAATTTAATCTACTATTTAGATATTTTATATTCAGTTATTAAATATTAATTTTTATATATTTAAATTTAATAATTTTAAAAACTATAAAATTTTTATATTAGTTCAATATTTTATAAAAAAAAAACTTTTTATTTTATTTTTATTATAGTATTTTTATATAATATCAAAACTTTTTGTATTAGTATTTGTAAAGGGTTAAGCTCTAAGAACTAGAGGCTAGTCCTCCTATATAACAAGGACAAATTGCTTGAGAAAGGGAAGAAAAGAATGAGATGAGAACTCAAGCTTAAGCAAGCTCGTGTAGCATGATCATGTGCACACATGTGAATGATGACTAGGCTGAGTCAGCCAGCCAGAGCAAATCTAGAGGTTCAACCCCTTATAGTATTTTACTTTTATATTATTATTATTTAAAATACTTTATAAAGAAATAAATTAAATTATATTATTATATTTTATTTTATAAAAATTTAATTATTTAAATTATTATTTATTATTATTTATTATATATATAAATTTTTAAAATTTTTTAATTTTTTTTAAAAAGATTCAGTAATTAATTATTTTTAATTTATATATATATTTAATTTATTATTATTTTTAATTTTTAGTATTTTAATATTTATTCTTCTACTCTTTTATAATATTAATTAAATACTTTTCATATTTTCATTTAGTACTTAATTAATTTATATTTGATGTTTTCACATTTTTTAAATACTCAGAAGATATTATTTATTAAAGTATATAATAATAAATTTGAAATGTAACTAATAAATCAATATTTTAAATATAATATTTAATTAATAAGTATATATTGAGAAAACTCTCTATAAAAAAGTATTAAATTTAACTTCAAAAAAAAAAAAAACTTAAAATATCTTATATATTAATTGAAAAAAATTTCAGACAGTCAAATATAAATTAAAATGTTTAAAAAAATATAAAAAAATTCTCAACTTATAACAATAAAATTAATACTTTTCATATAGATAAAACATAGTCAAATGATTATACTGTAATGTCAAAACTTCTTATACCAGCTTCTTGCCCTTACACTGCTTATCAAGGCATTTTGTAAAGGATCAGATTATTTAACATCATAATTTTCTCATTCTATGAAAGATTAGAGGTAAAATTTATTGTCATTTATTCATGTCTATAAACACTCTGAATTCTCTAAATTTCTTTCAAGAGATTCAGTGATTAGCTACTATTCAATTTCACATCTATGTTTTCACTCATGCAATTCTCCTCTCTTCATAGCACTTGAAACATCTATCCTCCTATTCTCTTATGATACTAGTTATAGTGCTTTTCACACTTTCTTTTAACACTTGGTTCACCCACATCAAGTGTCCTCACATAAACTATTGTTAGGGAGTGAATGCGAGCTGCATAAGAAGGAATCCTCTACGTTGCTAACTGCTATATAATGAAATACTAAGCTTGGTGAGGGAAAAGGGGGTGCTGGGGTCTGCACCGTCGCCATTCAGTGCAGCAGCGCAACTGAAGATACAATCCATATCCATAACCTGTACAACCCGGGGCCTGGCACAGGGGAAAGCGTCATTCTCCTCCTTCGCAGAGTGATCACCGATACCGGGAATGAAAGACAAATGGTAGTAGGAGACTTCAACCTCCACCATCCGCCGTGTGGAGGAATAGGTGTTGATCAAGACGCCGAGGTGGAGGAGCTGGTCCTTCTCATGGCCGACCAGCAACTAGAGCTCCTGCTTTCCCCAGGCTGTCACATTTGACGAGCGCGGAAGACAAACTACAATTGACCTTGCTCCAGGGACGCCATGGGTACATGACAGAAGAGCTCTCTGCGGAGTGAGGGAGGAGCTCTACCATCAGTCTGATCATCTACCGGTTGCCACAAAGATAATGACAACAGTTGAGGCGAGCGAACCGCCGAAACAACGACAATGGCAACGCACATATACGCGGACACTGGAGCAGGAACTGGAGAGGAACCTAGGATGTCGACTGCAGAGCACTAGAACTAGTCCAAGCAATAACGAGTGCCATTGAAGCCTCTATCCCGAATGCAAAACCAAGCGACCGCTTGGTCCCCGGCTGGACTCAGGATTGCAAGAAAGCGCGGAGGACAGCAAGACGCCTTCGAAGATGATACCAGAGGACACACCTCGTGAACGACTGGGAAGCATACTGCCAAGCCCGCAACTATAAAGGAAGACTTATCAAGAAAACACTCTACGATGCCTACCGGACAAGAGTCAGAGAGATGACCGATACTCCAGACGGACTTTGGGAAGCTGGCAAGATGGGACCGAGGACGAGGGACAAGACAGGCGTTCACACCCCCTCTGCGTAGGAGTGATAATAGTCTAGATCACCATCACCAAGCCAAAGCCGAGATGTTCAAAGACGCATTTTTTCCCAACCCCAACCAGAGGCGGATCTGTCCGATATCACAAACCGAAGATACAGCGATCAGCTCTCCTTTCCCCCTATCACATATCAGGAGGTAACTCGGGCGATCAGGTCGATGGCCGCCAAGAAGGCACAGGGACAGGACGGCATCCCGGCACACATACTTCAACAACTGCTCCCTCACCTAACGCCCATTCTATTACAAATCTTCAATGCATCACTGGACCTACAATACTGCCCAGCACACTTCAGACAATCCAAAACGGTGGTGCTACCCAAGCCCAACAAGAAAGACCTGTCGGAGGTGGAATTGTACCGTTCGATAGCCTTGCTGAATACCCTTGGTAAAGCCCCGGAGACTATCCTGGCACACAAGGATCGCTCAGGGCGGTCGAAGAACACCAGCTCCTTCCACGAACGCACCAAGGAAGAAGAAGGGGGTGTCAATGGAACACGCGCTCCATGGACTAATGGAACTGATCTACCAGGCTTGGGACAACGATCAAGTGGCCAGCCTTCTCCCGCTGGATGTATCAGGCGCGTTTGACCACGTCTCACACCCCCAGGCTTTTGCACAACCTGCGCAAGAGAAGGATGGATGAAAGAATAGTCGGATGGGTAGCGAGCTTCTTACAAAACAGAATGATGACCATACAGCTCCGGAAGCACACAACAGAACCCCTCCACGTAGAGACTGGAATTCCACAAGGATCCCCAATCCCTCCCGTGCTCTGCCTTTTCTACAATGCAGACATCCTGGAAGACGCGCCTCTCTGGGTGACTGGAGCCGCAACCGGAGGTTGGATCGATGACATCTACTTCTTCACCAGCAGCTACACCACTGACGAGAACTGCAGAAAGTTAGCAAGAATGCATGAACGGGCCGAGGCATGGTCGGCCACACATGGGTCAAAGTTCGACCTCAAGAAATACCAATTCACCCACCTCACGTGAAACCCAAGGAGACACTATGTACAACAGACCTTGGCCATATCAGACATGACTCTTGCTCCGATGAAAGAAGTCTGCTACCTGGGCGTCATGTTGGACCAGCAGCTACGGTGGGGCCCCCAGATACAGCACATCGACAGCACAACTTTACCGTCGCTAAATGCCTTGAGATCCCTGGCGGGTTCAACGTGGGAATCAGCTCTTGCCACGCTACGGCAGGCATACCAGGCCATAATGGTTCCACATATCACACATATGCTTGCTCCGTGTGGTACACTCCACGCGGGGAAAAAAGGGCTCACACAGAAAATGCTGGCGACCCTGGACAAGATTCAACGAGAAGGAGCAAGAATCATAGGAGGCGCATACCGAGCAGTGTCAGGTGCAGCCGTGGATGTCGAACTCTTCATAACATCCCTACATCTCCAACTGGAGAAATGAGCACATGAAGCGGCACTGAACATCCTTACTGGCAGCCAGTTCCAGGACGAAGAAAACAACACCTAAACTCGGACCCCACCTGCACGCGGAGCATCTTTCGCCAGCCCCCTAACACACCTCTACAACAACCATTGGAAGAGAAACTGGGAGCGGGAACAGTCGACGGCCTGGAGTTGCGGATCCCATTCCCAACAAAGCCATGGTGGAAGGCACCTACGGTCACTACTATTATGGAAGGTCGAGAAGCTGCGGAATGTATTGCAGAAACATATAACCAGCAGGACCACTAGCAATATACACTGATGATAGAGATATACACAGGAAAGTGGAGGCAGCTGCTGTGGCGCCGTCGATCTTTGCACCCAAGATCTCGCTTACCTCGGCAAGGACACAGCCACCATCGTTTTGTGCGGCAGAACTTCTTGGCATCCCGCCTAAACTTAATTTTAACATCAAGCCGGAGCAAAGTGGTGATTTTTACGGGCAATCAGGCAGCCCTAAAGGCCCTCCAGAACACCCAGAGATCATCTGGCCAGTCCATACTTCTGAGAATTATCGACAGTTTGAAAAAGAGCCAACTCACAGGGTCTCGAGGTCAAATTCCACTGGATCCTGGCGCACCATGAATTCGCAGATAAACTGACAAAGGAGGCGACTGGATGCAGGCAGGTTATTTTCTCAAGAATGGCTCACTCATGGTCAGCTCTGCTCTTGAGGGAAATAATGCTCGTTCTCTCAACAGTTCTCATAGCTGAATCTGTACGCCTTCATCTAGACTCTTCTTCTATTCCAAGTTCATTCAAAAAAGACCCATTGGCTTTTCCCCTCTTTATTCAAGTCCTAATTTTGAAAAGACTATTGCTCTTGATGTGCTGAATCTAATAGACCATCCATGTTAGCCACTGCATTATTTTCATCATCAGACGTTCCATCAATGTGCTCATCAGTCCCTTCTCATGATGATACATATGGAATGAATGTGGTGGATAGTCATTCAACCATGTCATAGAGCTGTGCCAGCGTACTTGCAAACATTACTGAACGGACTATGTGGCATGAATGAGACTCTCAGTCATCGGGAACAAATCAATGATAGTGGCCTTTTTCATTATTCATGCGTGACACGGTAGGATTCGATCAAGTGCAGTAGAAAAGATATGCTTCATCAAGTTTCCCTGTTGCACAATCGGCTTGCTGCATTAGAGATAATGAGATTTAGAATGAATGCATGTTTGTTTGGTGCAGAGCACTTACCAAACAGTCCCGGAAGCCAAGAACTATCCCCTCCTCCTCGTCCAGAACCTTTTTTTTTTTTTTTTTTTTTTTTGGTTCATCAGTGACTGGAATGTTGTGGGTCTCTGCTCGATCAAAATCTATCCAAACAGCTCTTTCTGAATCATCTTTGACAATCATCATGTTCCTAGGCTTTGGATCTCTGTGCTGTACTCCTGCCTCATGAATCTCCCGTAGGCCTTTGATAAAGTTGGCCATTCGTTTTTGTGAGTAGTTGTGCAGATGGATCATCTCAAGATTCGGTATGTACTCCAGAAAAATAGCGCTGGGAAGGTATTTATCATGAAGGAACATTTTCAGGTAAGGTTGACATGATTGCGGGTCGAACTTCTCCGTCATTCCAAAGAAATGAGGGATGACTCCACGTCCACACAGCCCTCGCTCCTTTAGTCGTTGATAGGCAGTGGACTCAAGCACATGGATATCCAACTCACGATCCTTTCGGCTCATAGTACCGTCGTGGCCCTCGACCGTGATGCTGTTATCATCAGCATCAGCACACAGCAATCAATCCTCAGAGGATCTGACTTACCACCTTCATGACACATATCTGGCCACAAACCATGACAAGGAATATCACAGAATAATCAGAGGCAAAAAAGCTTTGTCTTGAAAACAATTTCGGAAGGGTTGATATTGTTTAACTCCATCATTACCTAGATCCTCTCAAAAGTGGGCTCGGGGTCTCTGAGCGAAAGATCAGTTTGAGACCTTCAACGCTCAAAGAGGAGAGAATCACGTGATATAACTTGACTAAATGTCCGTAACGGCAACAACTTAAGGAGGAATTACACATGGCTGGCGGTTATGAGACACGAGCGACGTAACCTTTTTATTTGTTCAACGCTCCATTATTTCCACACAACCCCACACGGCCCTATCCGAAGAACCAAGAACCGCAAAAAATGGGGAGGGTGAAGCTGATTTCTGGAAACTTATAAGACTCCGATATTCTTCATCATCTCACGGTGAATAGAGAACTCATCCAGACAGATGATGAAGCAGGAGAGTGACTGATGATCCTTCACTGTCATCTCAGATAATAATCCATGATGGCGTTGACTGGAAACTGGCATTGTCCGAAAAGGGTAATAGCGCCTATCCCGCAAGCAACCACCCCGTACACAAATAATACCCCACAGAAACTGCCTAGCTACGGCATCGCCACCGCCCGTGGAACGGGGGTATATAAGGAGAGGCTTCTCCAGGCCCCTGTTTCGTAGAGCATCTTAGTATTTCGTTGAAGTAGCTTAACCTAGCTGGCAGTGCCTAGATTGAAGCCGGAACCCGTTTTTGATAGAAAAACTGGCGAAAAATGTGTAATTTTTTTGAGAAGAAATTATTAAAAACTTAACTGATTTTATCTATAATAAAGAAATTTTTCTCATACAATTAGGATATAGTTCAAACTCTCAAAAATATAATAGATATAAGATCAAGCTATTTGGCACGTAAAAGAAGAATAGATTTGAGTAATATTTTTGATTTTTTGAAGAGAAATCAGAAGAAAATACACTATTAATATTATTCTAAGAGAAATCTATAGATCTTATTAAAAACATAACAGTTTAATCAGATTTAGTTAAAGTTCAGTTGAGTTTAACTTTAAATCTTAACTGAGTTCTATTAAACTTGTTAAAGAATTAGTAGAAGCTAAATCCATTAAGATGTTTATATAAATATGCACTTGGTTTTAGCTTGCTTTTGTTCTCAGCTATACTCAGTTAGTTCTAATCTTGCGTTCTGTATTCTATAGCCCCTATTTACCAAGGCGGTGGCTCAATCATCTTCGCATAAGCCCCTGACTATCGAAGCTCCGCCCTTTTATAAAGGAAGCCTGATCCTCCCTACATGATCTGTCTTCCTCTTTCCTTCTTTAACGATTCCTTTTTGTTTTCATACGCGTTAGTTATCAGCTGTTCTCAGCAACTCGCCCGCTACAGCTAGTTCGCGTTATGCTATTGCGAAACCTATAGGGTTGGGGCACGTGATCTGGGGTACGGGCTGTAGGCTCTGGTTCCTTGCTCAGTATCCGTTCCACCCATCATAATTTCCACTATTCTGCATTTTTGTTCCCGTGTTTGCTTCTCATTCATCACATAAAATCAGCATACCAACCTAACTTTTCTTCCTTTACAACTCCTAGTTAACCTCACATCAACTCAACGGTCTTTTAGACTATCAAAATGGCAGGACTTTCACAAGAAGACCGCAACATTATCAAGAACCATCCTCTAACTGATTCAGTCGATATTTTTCGACGCATGCTTCAGGAAGTTGAAAACTACTATGAGTTGCACCTAGGCGCTGTCGATAGCCTTGACCAACTCTATCGGGGAGTGACTTCAGCACTCCTCACTGCTTTACAGGGAGAGGGTGCGGCTTACAACCTTCGCTCACGGATGAGTGATGATGGAAATGTGGCGTCTGATCTAGCACACTTAGTCAAGCGCCTCCAAAACCCAAAAGGAAACTTCACTTCAGGTACAATGAGTATCGCCTGCTGGTATCCCTGGTGATGGCAGTTGGGCTCAGTTTCCTGATCCTCCTACGCAGAATAATGTCCTCACCTGGTGGTTTCATCTTCAAGAAGACCTTCTCTCAGAATCACGCAGCATCTACTACACCACAGTGAGCAAAGCAGATCTTACTGAATCAAAGGCAAAATGACAAGTTGACCTTCTTTTGCGAGCTAGAGATGAGAGTCTCTCACAAAACAAACACAACTGGAGAGACATCCTGGTGATTGGTGAGCTCAAAAATCTAAGGAAGAGATCAAGACCAAAGCCACACTGCTGCAGATCAGCTGCTGTGTGCGTGAGGTCTTTGCTGCGCAGCCCACCTGGAGGTTCATTCATGCATTTGCTGTCTGCGGGACCAAGATGGAGGCATGGGTGTTTGACCGCTCAGGCCCCTACAGCTCACGCATCATTGATGTCTTCACAGACTCAAAACAGTTCTTTAAAGTGCTTGTGGGCTACACCATGATGAGTGATGAGGAGCTGGGACTGGACACCTTTATTGCTAGAGATGAAAGTGGCAACAAATCAATAACTGTCAAAGAGCCTGGGAACTCAGAGGAAAAGAAGGTGCTGCTGGGTAGAATGCTTTCCTATCAGCATGACATTGTGTGTCATGGAACCACATGTTTTCTTGCAAATGATGGACAAGTGAAGGGTGTAGCCAAATTCTCATGGGTGTCAGACAAGCGATAGCCAGAGGTGGAACTCCTCAAGCTGGCAGGTAAGAAGAATGTCCAGGGGGTTGCCAGGATCATTGGCCATGGTGTTATCACTAGGGTTGCTGACATGCGCTGCGGCCTGACTTTTGACAACAAGCACCATGACTTCAAAAGCTTACCCTTCAGCAGAGCCTCCTCTGCTCATCAATCTCAGCCACTCACTGAGGGCTGCCACTGAGATATTCATCAAAAGTCATCATCCAGGAAGCACATATACCCAGACAAGAAGGTGCAGCTGTCCAAGTGAGCACATTTCATCAATCAATCATCAAGGGACACCCAGAAGAATGAACTAGCTTTCTCCATTCAGTCAGCACGCAAACCAAGCATCTTTGACAGGAATGATGAGGAACTCTATGACAACTGTGTTCTCCAGTGTCTTGTGATCTCACCTGCTGGCTGGCCAATCTATGACTACAGATCACCCTTGGAGCTTCTCACAGTACTTCATGATGCAATAAAGGCGCACCGGTCTCTTTACCTGGATGGGAACATTCTTCATTGGGATATTTCAGAGAACAACATAATAATAACTGATCCAGACAAGGCAGATGATTACTCAGGAATGCTAATTGATCTGGATCTTGCTCAAGAAGTTGGGAGTGGACAAAGTGACTCACAGCACCGCACTGGTACAATGGAGTTCATGGCAATTGAGGTGCTGTGTAATATTGACCATACCTATCAGCATGATCTTGAATCATTTTTCTACGTGTTTATCTGGCAGTGCGCCCGTCATGGTTGGGGGAAGGATAATAATCCTAGGGATAGTAAACTTCGTGCCTGGTATACTGGTAGCTAAGAGGACATTGCAAATGCCAAGTATGCTCATATGAACAGATCTGAAAATCTTGGATTTGAATTCATTTTGAGGGAGTTCCCTCCAAAACTTCATGGCATTTTACCACTCTGTCAGGTCCTACGAGACATTCTCTTTCCTTACAATGACAAAGGAATTATCATTGATACCCCGCAAGACCCACACCACTTATATGATCCAATTTTCAAGGCATACGATGACGCGATATCTTTGGTTGGATGTCAAAGTGATTAGATAACAGAGGTCACGGTGCCATCACTTTGTTGTTAAAGTTCACATGTTGCGATGGAATGTTTCGCAGCTGCCATGAAAATAGTGATGCAACATATTCCACCACTCGATGAGCACCCCTATGCCCTAAACCCCACGATACTCAGGCTACGCCTTAGCGCTATCGAGACACTATCGAATGACGCCATCAAGTCAGTGCTATCAAGGTGTTGCCTCTTCTCTATCTGTATAGCCCCTATCCGTATAGCCCCTATTACAAAGATGCTAGTTCAACCATCTTCGTACTGAAGCTCCACTCTCTATAAAAGAAAGCTCAATTCTCTACATGATCTGTTTTTCTCTTTTCTCTCTTAATGATTTCTTTCTGTTTTCACACATGGTAGTTATTAGCTGTTCTCAGTGGCTAATCTGTTACATTAGAAATCGTTTCAATTCATTCCTTCTTTATAGAAGAAAAAATTGAGATTTAGAGAGCTAGCTTCATTAAAGCTCTACACACAGTATAGAGCTGCTTATGAATGAAGAGATTTAATGCATCTCTATGAATAAATCACAGAAGATACTGAGTGTTACGGCTGCAATCTAGGCGCAGATAAACAGATGTTCAATTGCCAACCAGGTAAGCTATTTCTATGAAATACTAAGATGCTCTACGAAACAGGGGTCCGTGAAAGGGTCTACCCCGTTTCCACTAGCGGTTGCTATGCCGTAGCTAGGCAGTTTCTGTGGGGTATTTGTGTACGGGGTAGTTGTTTGCGGGGTGGTTGATTGCGGGGTGGTTGCTAGGCCATCTACAGGGCTTTCGCCTTGCCCTTCAAGAAGGAAGAGGCCCGGAAGACTTGTTTTAACTTATTTGGTTTCTTGCCAGTTAGTTCACGCTCCAATCAGAAGTGGGATTTCATTTGACTTAGCCAATTAAGTGCTGCGTCATTCTTTCACTCACCATCAAATTTCAGGTGATCCGGCAGGTCACCAGGCTTGATATAGCCTGTAACTTGGGTCCGGAGGAGTCATTGATGTCTTTGTAGGTTCCACCGTAGCAGCCACTAGGTTGCTCTCCAATTCCTGGATCCGGTCTATATATTCTCGTTTTGTCTGATTCAGGTCTTCCGCGAATGCTAAGGCGTTCTTTGTCGTACAATCTTGGAATTCATCCAACATCTCCAACCTTCTCTATTCCGCCTGGGCTCGCCAGGATGTGAGAATTCGCAAGCATTGGTCAACGAGGGTGTTGCGGACAAGAAGTTTATTTGACTCAGGCGCATACCCAGAAGCCATGCGGATAGCTTTCATCATTGCTTCAGGAATGGACTGCATCTCAGAAGGGTTCGAGGATCTCGGATAAGTGCTGTCCTTCAGATAAATCCATTTCATACAGTGGTGATGATAATTTCGTTAGAATTCGGTGATCGTTCAGAGGATTTTCTTTGTTTGTGCCTTTCCAAAAAAGGGGGTCAGAATCGTGATCTGGGGTCTTTTTATATCCATGACCACCCTGGCTGCGGTTGATTCAGCCTCGCCTGTCGGCTGCCGGCCTGGTAGTGGCTGATTTAGCGGTGGTCGACCGATTCCGCCTCAGTGGCCTATTTTACCTCAGGAGAGGGGGCAATTTCCTTTGAATCAGCCGTTGCCCCCGCTCCCCTCCATGAACTCCTCCTGGGGCCCTGTCGGCCGAACTCGGTTCGCATTCCAACCAGGCCTACTGCAGAGGTGTTATCATCAGGACCAGTCTGGCATGATACTACGACTTGCGTCATAGGCGAAATATCTGGCCCCTCGGTGCATTCGCACCTCGGTTTAGATATGCTATCGATGTGATTCAAAGGTGGGCTGATTTCTCCCAAATCTCTGGGAGGAATACGCTGTTTATATTAGCAAAATATATAGGGAGACGTCGTGGTCTCTCGCTTAGTCGAGCGTTACACGTTATATGGCTGTTATGTAAGCAAGAGCGGCGGAATGTTCACCCGACCAAAGGTCGGAAGAATGTTACGCCGGAAACCCAACGCTTTCTGTAGAGTGACTGATTTTTATTAAGAATCCACTGACCGCAGCATGACTGTATAGAGCAAAAACAAGGTCAAAATCGCGTTATTTGATAATGGTGAAAGTGACTATAAAGATTCAAAGGTTTGTTTATTTCTAGGGATTCCGAGATCACTATCTGGAATGTCACGAATTTTCACTTGGTTTTTGCAAAAGCACAATAGTGGCAGTAATTCGGCCTTGCACACCAAACATCCCGGTGAAGTTAATTGATATTTCCGCTTCAAGCTCATCCATGCTCACATCTAGTTTTTAAATGTTTGAAAAATTGGGAGTCTTACATTTCAGATGAATCATTAAGTCAAGCAACCTATCATATATATCTACATGGTCTATTCTATGTGTAATTTTAAAATGTTTAGTATATAATGTGAATATCTCATTGATGAGTTCGTATCACATTATTCCCTAAGGAAGTCAGCCTTGTTTTTGCTTCCTCGATGTCAAAAACAACGTAAATCTATTCTGTAACTAATTAATATATGCCTGTTTTAACATGATACCCAATACCACCTCAATACCGTCAATTCCCTGACTACCTACATGAGTCCGGATAGATAATCCTTACCTATCCTGTAGCCAGCTATCCAGCAGAATGTCCATCGTCTCCGAGTATGTACAGGACAATCTCTATGCCTCTATCCCATCCCCATAGCCTCCCCCATAGAGAATGCTATAGATATACCCAATTATATACTTACCCTATCCGCTGTCCATGCTAATCAATACCCAGCCAAGTACGTCGGCTAGATGCTCAAATTGACAGGATCCAATTGCACATCTCTGAAGCAATAGCCCAGCAGCCCGCCGCAGCCGCATCTCTACTAGCAATAGGCGATGACTCCTCCTCCTCCTCCTCCTCCTCCTCCACCACCACTACCACCACCATTGCAACAACCATACACACCTTCGCTACAGTCGCCAGAGCTCTCTCCGTAGGCTCCCCTTCACACCCTTTGTTGACCCGCTCCCATCTCCTCCACCTCCTTCGTCAATATATCTCCGTCCAGACCGCAGAGGTTAAACCCACCGAGACGGAAGAGAAGAGAGAACAAGAACGAGTACGAGAAGATGCCTACATCACAGACCTCGAGTGGATCGTTGCCGCAAAGGCCACAGTCCAGACCCTGGGCCTCGTCATGCGCGCACTGCTGGAAGAAAGCATGCCCCTAAACGATGGCATCTGGTATTGGGACGAAGTCCTTAGCTCCCACTTCTACACTGGTTTATATACCATGCAAACCCTTCCCCTGAGACTCTGGGAGCAGGCGCGGGATATCTTCCATACATTCCAGCTGCAGAGACAGCAGCCGCAGCTGCAACAACAGCTTCACCATGCTGGGTCCTCTGTGGCAGTGAGTTTCACGGACCGCTGGAGGGATTTCTACACAATCGTCCATCAGAATATCAGGGAGCGATCCCTGGTGCGGGCTAAGATGAGCCTTTTCACCCCCTTTGCGCTCTGTAGGTCGCAGGTGCGTGGAAAGAGGAAGCAGCTGAAGAAGATGAGGGAGATTCATGCATGTGCTATTGGGTTGTTGGTGGAGGAGGGGTTGGTTTTTGAGATGGGGGATGAGAGTGGCGGGGATCAGAATGCCCACAGCCATACGCACGGTTCTGATCACTATCGTGGTAGTCATAACGATGAGGCCGATAACGCCTGCTTAAACAACCTGGGCGACTGGAAAGACACCATCAGCCGAACCGTCATCCTCCTCCGCACCGTTCTAGAAAACATCGGCACCCTCGACGACAACTCCAAAATCACCCTCTTCGAAGACACCATCTTCACCACCGTCTCCCACCACCTCCCCTCTGCCACTCAACCCTCCCACATCTTCCACCAACTCCTCCACATCCTCGAAACCTCTCTCCCATTCCACCACCACTCCACCAAAACCCGCCTAAACGCCCACAGCTACCCCTCCCGCCTCATCCGCTACTGGATTCCTGCCACGACCCTCCTCCTCTCCCTCGGCACGGTGCTCAACACCCTCACCAATAGGCGCGAGGAGCTCTGGACCTGGCTGACGGAGCTGGGCGCGACGACGGTCGACTTCGGCGTGAACTGGGTTATCGATCCACTCAAGCGGCTTGTCGGGACAATTCGCCATGATGAGAGGAGTGAGGTGGCGATTATGAGTAGGGCAAGTTTGGAGGCTGATCGGTCGAGTTTGGAGAGGATGGTTGTGGATTTTGCGATGGATGGGCGACATCAGGGTACCTCCTGGTCACAGGGGGATGCAAATGCGAATGCGGATGCGGATGCGCTGCGTGCTAAGGTTCGCGAAGGGGATTTGACGCCTGTGCTTGTGGCGTATGAGAGGGATTTGAGGAGGCCGTTTGTGGGCACGGTGCGGGGTGATCTGGTGCGGGCGTTGCTTATACAGATTCAGAAGACGAAGGTGGATGTTGAGATTGCTATGGGGGGGATTGATGCGTTGTTGAAAAGTCAGGAATTGGTGTTTGGGTATGTATACTATTTCATCACTGTTTTCCTTGTGTGGCATGGTTTTTTATTTTATATTTATATATATATATATATATATATTTGAAATGTATATTTGAAATGTACGCTGACGATTTTTGGCCAGGTTTGTCGGACTTACGCCTGGCATTCTTGTTTCGTACGCGGTGTTTTCGTGGATCTATGGGATATTTGGGAATAGGGCTGGGTTGAGACGCGGGAAGAGGGAGGGTGAGATGACGCGTGCACTGAAGTATGTAACCAACTACTTTTTTCTCTCCCCCCTTCTCCCCTGCCCCCAAAAAGTGGGTGAAAGAAAAAGGAAAACCTCGTCCTGTCCGTCTAACACGACCTACACCTCACCTTAGCGCTGTCGACCGCGTCCTAACCGCCTCCACCACAACTCACGATGGCATCCTCTCCTACAAAGACCACGGCCTATTGATCTACGAAACAGACATTCTCGACCAACGGGCTCAGAACCTCTTGCCTGGAGCTACGTATCATGAGTTCAAGGAAGATCTTAATGAGTTGTTGAATGTGAGGGTTGGGGTTGTGAGGCAATTGAGGGTTTTGGAGAGGGTGAGATGGACTTATGCGAAGTGGACGAGGTGAGGAGTAAGGGGGAGTTTTTATGTGCGTATTTGGAAATATGTAGAAAATGTTTTGCTTTTCATGTAATGACGTAAAAGTATATATATATATGATGATTCCGCTTGATAGAGATGACATGGGAAAGGGGCTGCGGCCGCTATGATGTTATGGTAAATCTTGTTTATGTGGATTTCTCTTTCTTTCCTTTTGGCTGGGCTGGGATTGGCTGGGTGATATCCTCATGCCAACAATTCTATCAAATGATAGACCTGCATGTTCACCATAATAAACCCCGATTTCGGGTATTGCTTTCAAAGAAGCTCCATTAATCCAAGGTTTGTCAGTAACGGCCGGTCCCCCCGAAGCATCCTGAAGAGGACATTGACGATCTCCAATTTGGAGTGTTCAATGACTTTTTGGTGGAGGTAGGGTAGCTGCGGACAGAGACTCGAGCGGACGAAATCATTCAAAGGTCTGAAGCTTCCATTCTTCCTGTTTCCAAAACTGTTAGTAAGTCGATAGAATTCAATGACCAGAGCTACCCTATTCACACAGGATCAGCTAACCCACATTAGACGAAAAGGAGAGTCCGAGTGAAGCTTCAAGGCCACCCAATCCTTCGCGATAGTGCCCCGAGAAACAACGCAGCGACCAAAGTTTGTATAGTTTCTCTAGAGCATAGCCGTATATAATGGGAGAAAAAATATCACGACCAACGAGGAACAAGCCATTGCACACCAGCCCCAACTTTGGATACCCAATTGTGGTACGCTTGCCGTCATGAAACAGAATATCGACACTCTCTAACTTGGGGATTGTTAGTTAAGTATAGTAGTTGATTTTGATATTTTGTCGATATTACGAGTGAAGTAGAAATGTTTATTGCCATTGCCAACTGGGGTCCCAAGTCGATTGGTCGCACTGGAACCAGAGATTTGGGGGAGGGTGTACCTCCCATGATATCCCGTCCAGGGGCGAAGTAGGTAGAGGTCGCTTAGTTTTTAAAGTTCCAACGGACTTGAGAGGGAGTCAGTAATTCTGTTTATTCTCCTCTAGAAGTTTTCAAGGGGCAGGGCAAGAAGGCTATTTGGAAAATTCACATTGTAAGACACGTTCAAAACATCCGAAAGTTCGCCTTGATCCTATTCATTTTTATCCGTAGTGAAAGATGTGTATTAGAGCCACCCTCCTATATGTTATTGGGGATCTCACCTGGAATTTGTCTTAATTTGAATGGCAAATATCAACGAATCCCAAAAATGCAATGCGTAGGCCCGTCCAAGATCCAGGAATAACTTGAACGCAATTGTGTCCTTTATACCCTATTCAACTGAACAACTGTCCATCCGAATGCCACACAAATAATCCCGATGCATTGCACCCATAGGCTCAAAGAAAATAGACTTTGTAAATCACTTGGCAGCTTGCAGAGAGACAAAATGTAAAGTCACCTGAGGAGCCTGGGTGATAGGTGACAATGAAATCTCCTTTTCCAGTTCACTGCAACCAAACGAATTTGAAGATGGAACATCGGGTTATATAAGACCTGAACCACGAATTTAGTTTTTATGTCTCAGGACTCGATCTACACATTCCCACACCAGACAAAAACCCCCCGGTGCGAGGGTATCTGTATTCCGCATATTCAATGTTGCGAGAGAAATTCTGACGCGCTCGCTAATAGTAAATAAGGAGCCTTCGGAAAACTGAACATCACATGTCACAACCTATGGCCTAGAGAGATCCAAACGCTGGTGCTCGCACTTCGAGAGTAGACCTTTCCTAAATTCCATACATCAGTAAGTTTGGGAGGTGGATGAAAATCTCATCCAAGATTTCGGGTGGAAGATTGACAAAAATGCCTCCTTTCCTACGGCGTTGTTCACCATCATCTTCGGGGTCAATCTGTTCCATCCTGTGATCGATACCTTCATCGAAACGGTCCGGGGCAAACCCCGGCACAGTGTTCTTCTCTTTCAATCTGAGCAAGAAAGTCGCTCAAATCCATAGAGCATCGGAAAGTGCTTAAGACATTCATCGGCAAATTCAGAGAAGGATGTAGCCTTTTGCACAACACGCCAACATGCTTTGTACCAGACTAATTCCCCCTTGAAGGGGTACTGCACGTTGTCTGGTATCGGTGTTCAGCTCAGTGAGCGTTGACTTGATGATCTCCGTGTTGGTACGGTGCAGAGTCTGGAATTCTCTCTGCCACGGTCCCTCCATTGTTTGGGCCCGTAGGCTTGACCTGAAGCCCACCAAGCGGACAAAAGCAGCCTAAGCCCGTTCTTACATCAAAGTATTGAGATGGGACGATGGGTGGATATCTACCGGATTATCACTGAGGGAAGAACGATTCCAAGGGAGCAAGTTTCAACTCCTGTTGATATATGAACATTTTGACCTTGTTCGAGCTGATATAGCACCCTTAATACATGCAAGGCACACACCGCCCGTTAGCTATAGTTGCTGAAGGGCTGCAAGGGCACCGGGTGAAGATCCAAAAACCTTTTTTTTTTAAAAAAAAAAAAAAAAAAATGAAAGTGGAAGAACAGAGCTCGATGATTTTCAATTGTCTTATTGTGCAATTAACTAGTTAAGTCATGTTCAGTTCTGGATGACTAATCCTAGCCCATAGTTATCCGTTTCTCGCGCTCCATAATTCAGTTATTTAACTATCTAGGTGACTTTTAGTTAATTTACGACTTTGGCACAACTAAATCAAAGGAAAAGTGGACGAATGGTAGTATTAGCAAAGTAGGGCCAAAAGACAAACACTTTATATTCAACGATACGGCAAGGAAGAGGCCAGGTGTGGCTTGAAGCAGAAAACAGATGGAAAATAGGAGAATATAACGATGAAATATTAAGGAGCGAGAGGTATGTCATTTACTATTCTGACCTGAACCTAATAGATACGCTATAGCTACCAGAATACGAAAAGGACAGTGAGACTTTTAAGCCCTGGTTCAAAAAGGATTCAATGCTGAAAGCCGCTGGGTTTTCCAAGGTCATTACCTATAGAAGACTGCCGACAGTAACACCTAAGGAATACTGAGCAGCTACAAAAGCCAACCATCCTCACAGGCCCGGAATCTGCCCATTGCGGAACAAATTCACAAAAATCCGATGATCACGCTGTGCCTTCGCACCATACTCATGCGCAAACTTGACCAGCAACTCCTCAAACCCTTTCTCATCCGCCTCGATGGCCTTGTTAATGGATTGCTCCGTGGAAAACGGAACTAGCTCCGAATGTCCACTCTCATTATCTGCCGCTGCATGCATCGTGGCCGTAGCCCTTCCCAAATCAGCAACGATGGCAGCAATGTCCTGCGGCTCATTAATGTCCGACCAGTCGAGGTCCACTGCATAGGGGGAAACCTCTGCTACCAACTGGCCGACGCCATCAAGTTCGGTCCAACCAAGCCACGGGTCCGCATATGACTGCAGGGCCCGCTGCGAGATCACAGTCCGGTGTCCCTCATGCTTAAAGTAGCTGCGGATGGCAGGGTCAGAAATGTGAGCTGAAGCAGCCGGGACCTGCGCTTGCTTCATGTAAATGATGATATCGTTTTCCAAAGCGTCGCTGTTCCCTTCGAGGAGGAGGTTGTATGATGGCAGGCCAGCTGAGCCAATGCCGACGCCGCGTTTGCCAACGATGTCCTTGACCCGCTGAGCCTGGGGACGGCTGCGGATGCTTGAATCAGGTAGCGTCTCCTTGTACTGGTCGAAGGCTCTGAGGACCTTGGCTCGCGTTTTGTCATTAAGTTGTATGGTGCCAGCGCCCGCGCGGAAACGACGATCGAAGTCATGGATCTCCGTCTGGCCATTGAGAAGGCCAATGCGGGTGTTAAAACGCGCGTTTCTTAGTGCGTCAAGCATGGGGCCCTTGGCGGTGTCCAACTTGAAGCCAAGGACATATCCGTGCTCGTCCTTGCAATTGCCGTTCACACCAGTGGCGAGGGCCTTGATACGCTCACGGTACGCAGCAGCATATGTGTTGACTAGGGTGGTAATCTGGCTATCACTAAGAGCCTTTGCGTAGCCAATAAGTGCAATAGAGGCGACGAAGCGCTTGACGTCCCAGGTGAAAGGGCCAATATAAGCTTCATCGAAGTCGTTAACGTTGAAAATCAGACAGCCCTGGCTGTCCATGTACGTGCCGAAATTCTCTGCGTGCAAGTCGCCGTGGATCCAGACTCGGCTGGTGTGCTCGTCGAGGTAGGGACTGCCCTTCTGTTCGTGTTGCAAGTCATTATAGAACAGAGATGCAGAGCCGCGGTAGAAGGCAAAGGCTGACGCTGCCATTTTACGGAATTTGACTCTGAAGGCAGCTGGGTCGGCGGCAAGAAGCTCGCCGAACGCTTCATTAAAGACACGGAGGATCTCTTCCCCGCGTTTCTGCTCTTCCTCTGACATGGCTACAGGTATGAAGTTGTTATTAATTGGGTAGGTATTGTCGTTTTTGAAGAGCTGGTTCTTGATCTCTTTAAATGCCTGAGAGTATGTTGGGTTCCTATTACTTCGGTAAGAAATCAAAACTGTGATGGCTAACTTAGGGTGTAAGGCACTCAAAATATATTAATGTACCATGCTACCCCTCATCCACAGAGGGGGGTAGTGAGAATCCTATATCGGATAGGATATTCTAAGAGGATTGCTGGCATTAACAAGCTTCCATTTAGCTTTGAGTTGCGATTCCCGGCCGTCTCTGGGCGCCATATGCTGAGTCCAATTTTGTGGGTCTGTCCAGGGTGTCAGAATGATATTTAGCAAAAGTTTACTCGAACAACTGGAGGCCGGGGGGTTTTAGCATCTGTTGCATGGCATGGGCAAGTCAAAAATATATAAAAATGAAGTGCAAATGACGGTTTCAGCAATTCAATTATTGGTCCAACCAGTGAACTATCTAGTTACCTTCTGTGGGATAAATTGTCACAATCGCAACGTTTGAATACATTTCGAACAAGATCTTGGATTAGGAGCTTGGATTGAATATGGAGGATACTTATAATTGGTTTATTATTCATTCTTTGCATCGTAATATGCAGAAAAGTTGCAGATATAAAAATGGGCCCGCAATCTGCCGCCTGAGGCCATGAGTTAATTTACGTAACCAACAGAGCGGTACCTCGATTTGTATAGATTGGGCAGGCAAACACGAGGTACCACCATATACTGCCGGCCTCCAGCTCCCTTCGGCAGACCAACTAAAAACAACCTCCACCACCAAACCAGTGTCAACCACCAACCACACCAACCATCAACCACTCACCACTCACTATTCATCACTCACCAGCCAAACCATACTTAACCGGGAGCCTGGTGTTTTGTTACTCCGCTGCACTCTATCATGCTCCGTTTAGATACTCCATTAATCAGTCAATAACAATATCCTAAGCAACACTCTCGCCGCTCTTTTGCCCTCCCGCGCTCAGCCTCCAGTTTCGAAGACAGTACTACGCTCTGCCAGCCGTTTCAAACCAACTCCCCGTTCATTCGGATCCCGACAACACATACAGATTGCCTCCCTGTACCAGAGCTAAAGCTGAGTCAGGTCAGGTTTTCGACGGCAACTTCTCTCGTTTCTTGCAGGATTCATCCGGTCCTGTATAATCCCCTTCACAAACCTCTCCACGCCTCGATCCCACCGCTCACAATAATCATCTTCCTCCCCTTCCTGCTTTGGATATCGCCATGGCCGGTACACGAAATTACGATTTTTTGGTATGTACTTCTGCTCCTGGAATGACAATACTCACTCCCTCAAACCTCCGAAAATTGATTACTCCCCTTGGTAGTGCTGTTTTCTTGTTTTTTTATTTAACTTTATACCCGTGAACCCAGATCAAACTCCTGCTCATCGGTGATTCCGGCGTTGGGAAATCTTGCTGCCTATTGCGCTTCAGCGAGGATTCGTTCACCCCATCTTTCATCACAACAATTGGAATTGACTTCAAAATCCGGACGATAGAACTCGACGGCAAACGGGTTAAGTTGCAGATATGGGATACGGCTGGACAGGAGCGATTCAGGACGATTACCACGGCTTACTATCGCGGCGCCATGGGAATACTTCTGGTCTACGATGTGACCGATGAGCGGTCTTTCAACAGTGAGTTTCACCTCCCTTTGAATGCACCTGCGTTGATGTTGGATCGTCTATGGATTTAATATTATGAAATGCCCCTTCTAACGTTTGTTTTCTTCATTTTTCTCAATCTCCGCCAAAGACATCCGAACATGGTTCTCAAACGTAGAACAACATGCAAGCGAAGGGGTTCATAAAATGCTTATTGGCAACAAATGCGACTGGGAAGAGAAGAGGGCCGTATCGACGGAGCAAGGCCAGCAGTTAGCCAATGAGCTAGGCATCCCGTTCCTCGAAGTCTCCGCCAAGAACAATATCAACGTTGAAAAGGCCTTTTATACACTCGCATCCGATATCAAGAGAGTCATGGACACAACTAAGTCTGAACAAGCCGGCTCCCAGGGTGTTATTATAGACCATCAAGGAGGCGGGGTAGGTAGTAATCTTGGGGGGAAATGTTGTTAGAGTGCATTTGTTTCTTCTTGTTTGCAAGTGGATTATCAGCATGTTTTTCATGCTTGCTGTTGTTTTCCCTCTCGCTTCTTTCTATTGCTCCTGTTCTATTTAAGGGACACAAGTCTTGTTGCCAGTGCACACTGCCCTTCAGCTCTCCCCCCTGCAGCCGATTAAACTCGGCTTTTACGTATGACGTCGTCAAGTTCCGCACCTACTTCCCCCTATCTCCCCAGCAACTCGCGCCAATCCGATCCATCATCACCTTTGACATTCTCTTTCCCTATGTTGCTTTCTGTGTGCCCTATCGATTTCCTTCTTTCGATACGATTCTATTACTGCGTTTCACACGTTTCTTTTTTATTTTTCAGTTCTCTGTTTCCCTATTTTTTCCCCCTCATATTCGTTTATGTTTATTCCTCTAGAAGGCGTCATCTCGTCTTTTTGCGCGCTGTTTTTTGTTTCATATATTCCACACAGATATCCGCCTCTCCAGAAGTGAACCTATTTTGCGTCAATTTAATGTAAAGAGTTACCCGATTAACGCAAGTGTGGCTGATATTGAATCACGATATCTTATGGCAATGCAAATCGAAAATTTGGTGGCTGTTGAAAGTGTTCAATGTTATGGGTTGTTTCTCATCGTGTATGTCAGGCATCGTTTCATATCTACAAAGCATGCTACTACACATTGATACCCATATTAATACCTAACATCTTGTCTATTATGAATGATCGATGCCATTAGTGACATTGAATATTTTCATTTAATATATCGATCTCTTAATGTACAATGGTTAATGCGGGTTACGCTCAGGTAAGAAAAAAAAATAGTACTGAAAAAACATATATAAAATTACATATATAGGACTACGGTCACCGTGGTTCAAGGGTCCATGGTCTCCTTTCAAAATAAGTTGCATCAAAATATATCGCCTTCAAATAAACACTCAGCCTTGATTATAGGCGGTGGATCCGGATAATTTGACAACGAATCCAGCCTAGGGAACACACTCCTATGCCACGTGCGGACAAACCTCTTAGCCTCAGCCGCGCTCTGGAACGCAATGCGCCAATTCCCCCCCCTCCCCAAAACATCGTCCTCATCCGGGGTTAACATCTCGTTTGACAACGGGCCGGACAGCGAGGTAATCGTATCCTTATCTTCAATCAGTTGCCATGGCGTCCGCCTATTCTGCCCATCCCACATAAGCAATCGACGGACGTATTCCTTCTTCAGAGTGAAGAGGTACTGGTTCTCGAGCCACAGGCGAACCGGGAAACCTGCTTTGCCATCGATCTGCTTGGATGCCAGGCTTTTATGAAGATCGATCGCGTCTTGGATTTTGTGATTGAAGGGTGCTAGGTGGGCAACTAGGGAAAGTCGCAGCCATGGTGCTGTGAGTGTGTAATCGCTTAAGCGATACTGATGTGCACCGCCAGCGATGAAGTTGGGTGGTGGAACAATTTTAGTTAAGGGGAAGGTGGGGAGATTGTCTCGGGCAAATTTGTGGAGGCGGTGGACTTTATCCTGGAATTCCTTTGCGGAGGCGGGGCTGGAAAATATCAGGATCCATGTGTTCGAGCGCCGTAGGGTATCTTGAAAGCGCATGGGGATTACTATATACCATCCGCAGATGTATGTTGTTAGTTTTGCTCATACCTTTCTTGATAGGAAATACATCCCATGAACTCTCGTTCACAAACGATAGAGAGGAAGTCCCACTTTTCTCAAGGCCTCTGGCAGCTCTCCATTGACGAAGATATTTCCCCGGTCCCAATATTGACACGAAGTCACGTTCATCAAGACAAGCCGGGGCGCGAGATAGCACAAGAGCCGTTTTATGCTTCTGTTGACTTAGTTTCTCATTCGTGATACATATTTGACCGAGCTTGTTTATTTCCACACCCGTGTCATCCGACTCAGGTATTGAAGCCAGCCCAAACGCTTTAAGTAAATCGGCATGTTTGAGGGATATTTCGTCGGCAGCAGATAACCACCATTTATTTTGGCTCGATGCGCCGGGCGATTTGACGTCCGCTGTAACACCTTCTACAGAGGGCTCGTCGGGTGTGGTTTCATGTATTCCCTGTTTCCCTTCAGGCGGAGCCGATGTAGATAGCCGTCGGCATTGCGGTGATGGCTTGAGAGAAAGAGTCCGTATGTATGCTGAGAAACGAGTAAGACGGAACATGTTGGGCGGGCTACGACGGGGATAGAAGGCCCATTATCATTGTTGGGATTCGGGAGGTGGAAGAATTTATCGCATCGGATGGTCAGTTTCCATGCCTTTATTGCGCTCCCAGTGCTCCTGAGACAATTGTAGCCCTGTAGATGGTAAAAGGGCTGTTGAGCAATATCATTGATGCAGATATAGAAATGTGATGTAGGTAATTAATTGAATTTGGTAGTTAGTTGTAGCACCCGCTTAGTTATCTGACCTGAGAATAAAATGGTCAATCTTAGGGTTGTTGGACCTTTTTATTTCTGCCAACACCCGATGAGAAGAACAGAACAAGCACGACAAACGACAGAGCCTCTTACATTTAGCCGGGCTTATTACCTACCTGCTTGAATTACAATCTAGAGTATCCGGCGGCGCTCTATAATAGCCTTACGCAAAAAGTTACCAGGTATATCTAGCCCTATTGTATCTCTTAACGAAATATATAGTCTACTGACATCTATCTGCTCAAGGATGGACAGTGTTGAAGCTTCGATAATTCCTTTAACGTTACTGTTAAGCAAACTACCGATCAAAACTCATCTGGCCTACTTATTCTGGCTTTTGGAAGTGCGTTTTCAATCACGATCGATATCTTGAAGTGGGGTTCGTAATGGCGGTGGAGCCACCCAAGTTCACGGTGCGACCGTTGTTGAAGCAGCCTAGAAACGACCAGAGAGACTCCTTTCGTATCTGTCTCTCCCCTTCCGCCTTGCTACTTGTGAAAGTCCGAGCTGGCGATCTATGCCGGTTGGAACTGGCTGGAGGCTCTCCAAAAACCGCCATCGCATGGACAGCCCCGGAGAAAATACAAGATACAATTGTGCAGACTTCAAAAGTTCTACAAGATCTATATGGATTTAAGCTGGGAGAGAAGGTTTCGATTTCTAGAGAGAACGAACCGTTAGAAGATATAGCAGTTGTACGTCTTGAAGAATGCACCGATGCCACGAAACTTTCTGGCGTGGGTCCTGTTCAGGAAGCTGACAGGGAACACTGGGCATGGGGTCTTGAATATCCCTTGTCAAAATGTGAAGTTTTATCAAAAGGAATGATGTTCGACCTAGAGCTCAAGGGTATCCGCAGAGCTTTTAAGGTCGTGGAAATTGAACCGCTCATCCAGGGTCGAAATAACACGATCTTCCACTTCACTGCAAAGTCTAAGGTGCTCGTTGGGCAGGCTTTACAACGTCAGACTCTACCGTCCTCGCTTGTCGTGACATCATGCGGGCTGGGTGGACTTGGTCGACAAATGACGCAAATCAATGAGCGGCTTCGCGACTTTACTATTCAGGAAAATAAAGTAACTATGCCATCTTTTTACAGAAATAGCGGCGGAATTCTGATCTATGGCCCGAAAGGTACGGGGAAGAGTGCGCTACTTTCTAATCTTGCTGCCGCGGGTTGGAAGAAGGTGCTCACCATCAATAGCTCTGTGCTGAATAAAAACAGGGGAGATGGAGAGGTTCTATTACGCAAGACCTTCTCCGAAGCTGTTCAGTCACAGCCGTGTCTTATTACTATTGATCAATTGGATTTTCTCGCTCCCAAAAATACCTCTAATGATCCCTCTATTTCTTCGGCATTGTGCGAAGCCCTGGATACTATACAAGATACGAAAGTTCTTGTGGCTGCATGCACACGCCACCCAAATGATGTTGATGATGGACTGAGAACCCCCCATCGATTTGGTGTCGAGATCGAATTACCAGTTCCGACAGCCGAGGGTCGAGAAGAGATTTTATTGGCTATTCGTGGTACTTCCGCTGTACCAAGTGACAGTCAACTGGCGAAATTGGCGGAGCGAACTCATGGATATGTCGGTGCCGACCTCTTTTCATTACTGCAGCTTGCGTGTAGAAAAGCACAAACTCGACAAATACTACAATTGGAGCAAGGGGGACCCAGCGAGCAGCATGTCTTGGACGGAGCTGTTTCTTCCTCCGATGTTATGATTCCAGATGAGAATCTACTTCAAATTGATGATATAGACATATCACTTGCTCTTCAAGAAACTCGCCCAACGGCAATGAGAGAAGTTTTCCTGGAAACACCGAAAGTGAGATGGAGTGATATAGGCGGACAGCATAAAATTAAGAGGCGACTTCAGAAGGCTGTAGAAAGACCCCTCAAGGTGAGTGCATATAGTCTAAATTTATTCTTCTGATCTCGCAACGTTTATTGTGTTTTCACAATGACTAACATAACTGACCTTTAGTTCCCCGATCGAATGAAAAGGCTGAACATAAGCGGTAAAAAGGGAATTCTGCTCTACGGCCCTCCTGGCTGTTCTAAAACACTGACAGTAAAGGCACTGGCAACCGAAGCTGGGTTGAATTTCCTGGCAGTGAAGGGCGCTGAGATCCTGAGCATGTATGTTGGGGAGTCGGAAAGGGCGCTCCGAGAAATATTTCGAAAGGCGCGATCAGCCAGTCCAAGCATTATATTTTTCGACGAAATTGATGCGATTGCTGCGCGACGAAGCAATGGCCCGTCCCAGGGTGGTATCAACGTGTTGACGACTTTGCTCAATGAGATGGATGGAATTGAAGAGCTGAAAAACGTTCTTGTTGTGGCGGCAACTAACAAGCCGGAGGTTCTCGATCCTGCGCTCATGCGCCCTGGAAGACTGGATAATATTCTCTATGTTGGACCTCCAGATTTTCAGGCGCGGAAAGAGATTCTAAAGATTTGGTTTAGTAAATCTGAGGTTGACGATGAAGTTGACATTGACAGGCTGGCGCAGGTGACCGATGGGTATTCTGGGGCGGAGATGGTTAGTATCTGCGAGACTGCAGCAGACAGTGCGCTGGATGAGGAGGAAGAAACTGGCCTGGAACAGAAGATAGCATGGAGGCATTTTGAACATGCATTGAACCAAGTCCATAAGCAGATATCTGAAGCTGTGATCGAGGGCTATGAGAGGTGGAAAGATGAGCTAGAACTCCAGCTTCCTCTATGAAGAGGTGGAATGAATGAATTATAACCAAATATTACTACTGTTTATTCAATGATGTAATTCTTTTATATTTCCTATTATTATCTCTTGATTTGTAAACAAATGGAAATAAATTCATAATGTTCTCTCAACCCCAGCTGCTGGAGCCGTCCAGGTCACGTGCGTCCAAAGAACCTCAAAGTCGTTTCCCTTCCAGATCAAACCCTGGAACTTAACAACAACACCTTCAATCACTACAGAATAACAAGCAAACAGCTTTGCTGAAGCTGTTAACGCGTGCATTCTTTAGCGCAGACTATTTATTTCAGAACATCGTTATTTTCCATTTCCATAGTCCTTATTCTGCTAAGAAGGGCTATAATTTATATGACTGCCTGAAGTGGCGATGCCATCACGATCGCCTTCGCCGTCTCGCGGGCGGTCTCCCTCTCCCGCTCACTCTCGGGGCCGTCGCAGGTCGCATTCCCCTGTGGCTTCACGTTCGTCACGTCGATCGCACTCCCGCCGCTCACATGTTTCACTCTCCCGCTCCCGCTCCCGCTCGCGGTCGAGAACCCCTGGCCCGGGTTTGTCGCCAAGACGTAACGGACATCGGGATGCAAGCAGATCCCCCTCACGAAGTAGAAGTCCCACTCGAAGCTTAAGCAGAGGCCGCAGCGACCGCAGATATCGAGATAGAAGCTACACGCGCAGTCCGAGCCGGGGTACTCCTCCCCGAACAAGTTCGAAGGTGGGTTGCTTTGTCATTGATCTCTCAGCGTGTGCCTCTGCACAATGAAGCCTTCCATCCCAGCTCTCAAAATTTAATATGGGAACATGGATATATTATTGTCACGTTACACTTTTGAGGCTAATGAAGATTATAGATCGTTGTTGAGAAGTTAACCAAGAATGTGAATGAAAACCATTTGCGCGAAATCTTCGGGGTATACGGAGAAATACAGAACCTGGAACTGCCAATGAACCCACAGTGTATGTGATTGAGAATTTTCTTCTATTATCATTATATGAGACAATTCTTTGTCTGACAAGCAAGTATGCAGTTATGACAAACCGAGGAACGGCGTATATCTTGTACTACGAAGCAGCAGATGCGGAGGCTGCGATCTCGCACATGCACGAAGCGCAACTTGATGGTGCTGTCCTCAACGTTTCTATCGTACTTCCGCGTCGCACGTTTTCCCGCTCTCCTCCCCCTGCCCGGAACAGGGCTGATTTTGGACGATTTGATCGACCTGCATACGGAGGTAGGGGATACAATCGAACGTCAGGTCTGGATACTGGGAGAGCACCGCCACCCGGTCGATATCGGTCTCCTCCGCCGCGTCGTGGTTCCCCACGGCGCTTTCAAGGTCCTCGTGGCATGGAAAGACACGATCTCTATCGCCCGCGCTCAGCATCAAGATCCCGTTCCCCACACGGCCGGTCGCCTTCTTATTCGTCACGCTCACGTTCCAGATCGCCTCTGCCACGGAGAAGGCCATATCCCAGGGACAGCCCCCCTCGTCGTAGGAGACGGGACTCTAGTTATAGTAGCTATAGTGACCGGAATAGAAGTCGAAGTCGAAGCAGAAGCTTGAGTAGAAGCAGAAGTCCCAGTCGAACTCGTTACGGTGGAGGCAGGAGGTAGCTTTTTCCTGGAGCATGAGTTTTGATGTTTTGTTGGCTTTCTAAAAGGGCTGTGTAACTTCAATTGGACAGGCACTGGGGCAAAGTTTCCATAGGACCTGTTTTCATGCTACGGGCGTTCTCAATACGATTATTTTTAAGAGTTGCTTCCTGTATTCATACTTAGTTCACATTACAGAAAATAACCGCGTGTCCATAGTTTTTCAACTAATATTCAATTTCTCTCTATTGGCGGTATGTATAGCTAGAACGATTCGGACATCTCAGAAGAATGCGCACCATCCTATATACATTGCTGCTAGATTCTTAATACTTGTGGCTTGAATGATTAACTCATCCACGTGGCCTCCTACAGATAGTGGAACAGATTCCCCAGGCAGTAAACCTCGCAGTTTGTGTCGTACGGATTCGAGAACGCCCTCAGGGGTATCAGGGACTTTGGAGTTTGCTCGTTTCTTCGATACCTGTTAGCTTTGTTAATTCACGCTGATACTAATTGGAGAGTGGAGGAGAGCCAACCTTTCTCCCAATAAAATCTGTTGTGGGATCGTGCAGGAAGGTCTCCAGAATGGTCATCAGAGAATCCTCATTTTGGCGTAGCAAGCCAAGAGTGAGCTCGCAGGTCTTTCGGAATGGTCCTGGAGTCTGGGTTAGAGCTGTGAGTATTAACAAAGGGTTGAAAGTCTAACCGTTATATCCGTAAGCCCCAAATGCGTTGATCATATTTTGGGTTAGCCTGAATGGAACCAATTCCGGCTTATCAAAAGTTAAACCCTAGAGAAAACAGGTTAGCACACCCGAGTTGACGGTTCCTAATAATGCAAAGGGGCTATATGCATACCTTGTCAAAAAGACAGTTGAAATCAACATGAAGAACACCACCGCTACCCTCCTCGAAGAGTATGTTCTCCCCATGCCTGTCTCCGAGACTGTTTAAAGTAGCTTTAGTTTCTGGGTCCCCCTCTCTCTAAGTGAAGGATTCTTACCCTAAGCAATAACCAACCATGGACATGACGGCACTGCTCCTGGTGTATTTCAATCGTGCGGCAAACCAAGTACCGGGTTCGGGGAACATTTCAACAAACCACTCGTGCAGAACAGGTGGGTATCTACACTGCTATTAGAACCTATCATCCTTAGGATGGGGCAGAATCTTACTTTGCAAGAACTTTGTTGGTGAAAAGTGAGAGCTTCGATGGGTCGGCGCAAGCTTCGTTCAGATATTGCCTGATTTCATTGTACTGTAAATTATTAGCTCCTTAGAATGAAATCATGGGATGGGTCTGCAATATCTAAGTACATACATTCGGAGTAATTCCCCTTTCCTTGAGAAGTCTGATAACGAGTTCTCTCAAGGTTCTTAGATTGTCAACCCATTCAATCAGCCCACACTCTTCATTTAATGGCGTAACAGCATAAGTTTTAATATCTATCTCATAGTTAGTTTAGGATAATGACTGGTTGCAACTTCCTTTTCATTGATGTTTGAAGACTCACATAGACGTCGCTTGCTCGATTCAACATCCTTCTTCAGAAACTTGTTAATCATGCTGTTGAACTCCATCAACCGCTGATCCTTGCGGAGGTCATCCTTTGGTTTGCAAAGAAGACTGTAGATTTTGCCGTCTGAGCCCCGAATGTTAATTTTACGGGGCTTCTGTAATGAGCTGAGAACGAGAGCATCGTCAAGTACGGCTTGTGATGACAAATTAGATGGATATGTTTTAAAACAGGGACTGGGAAGTAAAGCTTACTTTCGATGGTAACAGGGTCATGAGGAAATGCTCGAAACAATTTAAGGAAACTTGGTTCATGATTTGTCGGCAGAATCGGAGTCAAAGTAGCTTCTAACGGAACAACGAGTCTGCAGGGTGCTGTTCTGTGGTTGAAGCCAAGATTTCGTGCCAAGCTAACTTTCGGCGTCTTTTCTTCAATCCGGATATTGCAGAGCTTCAACAATTCCTCTGAAAATTTTTGTCCTTGGTTGATGATATTCCGAAGATCCGAAACCGATATGTCGGTTTTCATCTTTCTGCTGGCCTCCTGTTTTAATTAGTAAAGTCGTATTTGATGAGCTAGTAACCGACGTACCGTTATTTTTTGGAGGCATGACATTCCTCGAGATGCTCTGTCTCTCGAGGAGGACTTCAACACGGCGAGAACCGTCCATAGGGCCTGTTGTGGGAACGAATTTGCCGTTTTCACCACAACCTGTGTAAGGATACTATAGACAGTAGAGTTGCTGTGGCAAATTCGAGCGACCACTTGGGGTAGGATCGTGAAGAGCTTCGAAAATCAGCAGGATATCGTTAAAGAACGGCAGACGTAATACATACCAATGCAGCGGGGATTCTGTTGAAATATTTCCGTAACTGGGTATGCATATCGTCCAGGCATTTCTTCCTCTGAGCCATGCTATATTGTTGAAATTCCCTAGCAAAGAGTTAATTAAAATCTCTTACAATAATTAATCTGTAGCTCTCACTCGTTGTCGCCCCGTTTAGGGTCAAAGGGCTGATCAACAGCCGAAGCATGCTCCAACCATAAAGTCAAAACTTTGGGAAGAGTCTGAAAAACATATTTGTTTCCGTGGGCAAGGGAACGGAGAAAGTTGTCAATGACAAGTTTCGATGCCTCACCACTCAGACTAAATACTAATGTATTAGCGTTGCGACAATCAAAGCAATCAAGTAGATATTATACATACTATATCTGAGCCTCTTTACCCAGAGGCTTTGATTTTTCCGAATCCAGGATTTTTGTATAATGCCTTCCAAGATAGTAATGTGCTTTCTCCCATCTAAGAGAGGTTAGCAGGCCACATATATACGATTAATATATGAACAGTGGGAATTGATTTTCTAAGCTCACCGACTGTGGAATTTTATAGCTAGTCTGTACCGTTGAACGATAGCTTCTGACTGCGTTTGGCCAGCACTATCCATCCATTTCGCAAGAAGAAGGTGTGCCTAGTCTCAAAAGTAAGCAAGCGTAGAAGCAAGCAAAGCAAAAGGAGGACCACATGTATCATACCCTAGCCGTAAGCATATTTTGCTTTTGCTGTCGATCAGGGGCTACATATATTGAAGGATCTTCCGATAGTGCGTAGTCATGTGCTGTAAATGCATTCGCTTTGATTGCACCCTCCAGAGTTTGTATAGCTTTTCTATGGTCACCTTCTTTCCACAAAAGCCTCGCATGCTCAATGGTAGCAGAAGTAGAATCAAGTTGATGAGCATGAAGAACCGCGTTGAATGCTTGCTCTGTGCAATTAGCCTTTCGTGCAAGACGAGCAACACGCAGCCAAATCGAGGCAATGTCGAACGCATCAAATGAAGAGCTTCATTCCCCTAATCAGTGATGTTTACAACTTTGAGAAAAAGAAAAGTCTGTTGAGAACATACACTAATTCCATAGTTGCTCGTCTTAAACCCAGTAGATACTGTTTATCGGTAATACACCCACCAAGACTATCCAATCGACGATCTAACGTTTCGAAAAGCGCGATTCGATCATCTCGATTTTTGGGGTCGGTGGATGCAAGAAGTTCAACTTCGTTCAGAGCGTGGAGTTTAAGGACGCTGTCATGACTTGCTTGGAACGATGCTACAGAATTTGCTGTGAAGCCTTTCGCGATATTTAGTCGCAGCTTGGTGACTACGTCTTTGAACTCTTCGCGATTGCCGTGACGGAGAGCGCTTAGAGCTGAACCAATCCCAATGTTAAAGTCTTCAATAGCTTGGGAGGACGCCATCTCCACATATTTATCCAAGCGGTTCCAGTTACTAGTCAACCAACAGGCTTCTGTAGCGATGGGGAGCACCTTCGGTAGCGTAGGCCTTGCCAACTCTAGGCTGTCGATTTGGTTGAGAAGAACATCTGGAACCAAGTTAGAATGACGCTAGTTTCTTTCAATAACAATGAACAATGATCATACTGGGTTGGCCAGACTCCTTCAAACATGTCAATAAATTCTCTTGGACGTAGCTATTGCTCGGGTCTGTTTCAAGCTGTAATTGATACCAACTCTGAGCTGCCACCCAACGCCCAGCCTTACGATGTTCGAGGATTTGTTGGTCAATATTAAGAACATGAAGATGAGCAGAGATGCCCTCTATACCGTCTGGTTCGTCAATTTGCGTATATATTTCCTGAAGCCTCTCATAAAGTGGTTCAAGGGGGGCGTGGTTTTTGACATTCTTTTGTTGCTGTATATACTGTTCCCAATGGTAAAGCGCCCTTGAGAATGATTTGCATTCAACGGCCCGTTTGGAAATTACTTCCGCAGGTATGCACGAGAGAAGTTCCTCAACTAGCTTTATTTGCGAGCCCCATAAATTGAGAATTAGGTCACGTTGTGTACGATTGCCAGGGCCATTTGGCACAGCGACGCTAGTATATTCCTTTTTCTTTCCCTGAAGCCATCGGGAGAGGTAGTCGAGGACCGAGAACATGCTCTTTCACAACTTTGATTTTAGTCATTTTCATATTATAGAATGGGCAGAGATGTCGTACCTCGCTACACAAGATTATGGCTTCTCGAACTTGATGGTTATCCTCGGGAAGGGGGTACTCAAGAACGTGCAGCAACTCCTTTTTCAATTCCTCTCTTTGGCTTTGATCGCCGCTGAGTGCAAGATTAAGAGCAGCAAAAGGGAGGAGAAATGAAGAAATGGAAATATCTTGGCTTCGAATTATCCTGCTGCAGACGGTGAAAATCATGGATGCATTTTCAACACCGCCCTTTTGCAACATGTCGAGGACAAAAATTCGGAGCCACTCGGGATGACTCAACTCTGACGAAAACAATGGATAACAGCAGCTTGTATCAACAGCACCAATGATAACAGTATACTTTGAACTAAGGAACGGAGTTAACGTGTTTCTCACATGTTCCGGCAAGGATAGCCATCGTCGATAACACCCATTAGCTATGGTATCTTGAGAACGGGGCATCGTGATGGATCCTAGATTGCAAAGCTTTAGCAAAGTTTGCATGGC